TTAATTATAAAAAGATACTGTAGAACACTAAACACATCACAGATGATCTAATAGCTAGAAAATCAAAACATCATTTATTGACAGCACCACCAAAAGCGTAGGTAATATGTAATATAATGTCTGTAGGTAATTGTTTCCTAAGATTGAATTTTTGAACGGATGGGTTTCTTTTTCTTACATAAAATTTACATAACATAAATTAACCATTAATCATTTTAACTTGTGCACTTCAGTAGCATTAGTACATTCACAGCGTTGGTCAGTTACCACCTCTATCTAGTTCCAAGGTATTTTCATCATGCCAAAAGGAAATCCCATATCCAACAAACAGTCACTCCCCATTTCCTCCTCCTCTCCCCACCACAACCCCTTGGCAAACACCAGTCTGATTTACCTGGATGTTTCATATAAATATAATCAAATACATGGGACCCTTTGTGTCTGGTTTCTTTCATTTGGTTCATCCATGTTGTAACATGTATCAGTTCTGCATTCCTTTTTAGGGCTGAATTCTGTTATATGGATATAGTACATTCTTTTATGTTCATCTGGTTATTTCTACCTTTTGACTACTGTGAACAGTGCTTCTGTGAACACTTGTGTATTTTTTTTTATTTGTTTTATATTTGTTTTAATATCTGTTTTCAGTTCATTTGGGTATATACTTAGGAGTGGAATTTTTGAGTTGTATAGTAATTCTATGTTTAACTTTTTAAGGAAACTACACAGTTTTCCTTAGCAGTTGCACCATTTTATGTTCCTACTATACGTAGTTCCAATTTCTCTACAGCCTCACAAACACTTGTTATTTTATGTTTTTTTATTTTTATTACTGTCACCTAGTGGGTTGCAAAGTGGTGTTTCATTGAGGTTTTGATTTGCATTTCACTAATGACATTGAACATCTTTTTGTGTGCTTGTTAGCCATTTGTATGTCTGTTTGAGAAATGCGTATTCGAACAAAAGTATATTCCAAGTCCTTTGCCCATTTTTTAATTGGATTGTTTGTCATTTTGTTGTTGAGTTACAGGAATTCTTTATATAGTCTGGAAACTACACTCTTATCAGATATATGATTTTTCAAATATTTTCTTCTATTTTATGGGTTGCCTTTTACTCTCTTGATATAGTGTCCTTGAGGCACAGGACATGCAGACAGGAAGAAAAGTCTTAAATTTATTAAATTCATTTTTTCCTCCAATAAAATGGTCTTGTAAATTAAGACAAATATATTCAGTTATAGTTATGGTAAAATTTTGAAATGATATAACAACCCCCCTTTTTTTAATTACGAGAAAGTATTGTGTTTATGCTGCTATTAGTATAGTTTTCTTGGAATCATTAATTTATTACATATAGTGGGAAAAATCCACATGGCAAGGGAAAAGAAAGATTTTTTTAATCTAAATTTACTTAATATGTATATCTACTCTATGTTATAGTAGACTCTCATGTCTAATATTGTATATATTTGATTTTTAAAAAGTTCATAATCCTCAGCAGTTTAGCACAGAAACTTTGCATTCAAGAGATCTAAATTTCGTAAACTGCAATATAATCTTCTTGAATTATCATTGGTAACATTTTGAAAATTATGCATAAAATCTAATATCTACCTCTTCAGTTTAACAACTCATAAAAAAAGGAAAAGAAATAAATTTTAGTGTCTTTAATTAATATTGTCGTATATACTTATGTAAAGTGAGGTTTTTTTGCCCCCTTAAAAAATTATCCTGCAAAAAAGAGAAAACTACTTCATAGTTAAGTTCTCACAAACATTTTCATGTTATTGAGTGCTCTCAACTTTATTTTGAACACAAAATAAGGCAAAATATATTTCTTCAAGGTAATAGAAAATAAAATCAAAGATTAGAGTAATGTGAAACATGGTGACAAATGAAAGAAATATTCTTCTTAAGTGACTTTAAAGTGCATGCCAAAACAAAATGCTCAGGGGATGGAATCACTAAAGCTTTTATCACTGTTGGAAAAATACTTAGAGAAGGCATATTAGCTTGAAATACCTCAGTCAGTGGTAGTGTTTTAGATGCTTTTAGAGGTTACCTTACAAAATCAGTGGAAACAAGAGTCAAAGATATGTACACACATTTAGTCATTATCCCTGGGAATGAGACATTACACTGGCAAGTGAATATCAATGTAAACAAACTTTGTAAAGATGCTCTAAAAACCAAAACTATAAGTTGTTATGGTGATCACAAACCCTTACCAAACCAATGAACAAAAGCTTAGTGTTACACAAACTACTTGGGATAAAACCTCCTGTGAAAGCTTTATGTATGGATTAAAAAATGGCTGTCTCTCAAAACGTAAGTGAGGGTGATGTTCATAGTTGAATTCAATCTTCTTGAGAAATAAGATCCTGCAGAGTTAGGGTTATATGATCTAGGAAACCTAGCAATTTATTTTTGTCCTTGATCAAAGTGAGATAGGCAAGTAGACCACCTCTCAGTGTCAGTGAAACACAACAAATCTTATAAACTACATAGCCAGGAAATGAGAGGAACGTGAAAGGAGTAGAACATGGATGTTATTGTGCCAGCCTATTAGGTGTTAGAATATGTGCATTTATCATCAAGTAATGACAGTTTATTTTTATTTTATTGAGGTAAAGTTTAAATCCAATGAAATGCACACATTTTAAGTGTACAATCAAATGAGTTTTAACAAATCTGTTCATCCAGGTCACTAACACCTCAGTCAATATATAGGACATTCATTACTTCAGAAAGTTACCTTTTGCTGCTTTTCAGTCAGTTCCCAATCCCCATAAGCAACCCCTGTTCTGATTTCTTTCATCATAATTTAATTTTATCTGTGTTTAAAAGTCTATATAAATAGACTCAGCAATACAATATGTACTCTTTCTGTGTCTGACTTGTTTCACAGAACGTAATTGTTTTTTAGATTCTCCCTTGTTTCATGTATTAGTAATTCTTTTTTGTTGTCAAGTAGTATTCCACTATATAGTATACCAAAGTTCATTTATCTTTTCTCCTGCTGATGATTTGGCTTGTTTTTATTTTTTTGGCTATTATGAATAAAGATAGTATAAACATTCTACATTTTTTTTTTTTGCAAACATGTTTTTATTTCTTTTCCGTTTCATTGATCTATTGTATATCTTTATGTTAATACCACAATAATTTATCAGAATATATATTACTTATATTCTGAGTTTGAATTTGTAAATTTAACATTTTTCTATGTATGTCTTTTGCCCCAAATTAAGCTGTGCTGCCATCAAGAGGCAGTCATACTTTAGTTATGGACACAGAATACAGTTAACAGGCATATTTATTACATAATGCTACAGCATGAAAATTATGGCAGGAGAAAATTTAGAAAGAGAACTTTGTATGGGTGGATAGAGGAAAGAAAAGGCTTTCTGGTAACAGGGACTCTTTATACAGATGGGAAGAGATAAGTGGTTTGGAGCACAAGATTTGGAATTCCTCAAATTTTTATTTTAATCCCATTTTAATTGCTTACTAGTTATGTTATCTTGGCCAGGTTATTAATCTCTTTGTGTCCATTTCCTCACTTATTAAATGAAGATATATCCACTTCATATGCTTTTATATGGTATAAGTCAAAGAATGTAAATAAAGTGCTTAACATATAGCCTGGTAGCTAGGATGCTGTCAAGAAATTATTGCTATTGTAGGAATTAGAGAAGATAGGGAGAGAAGAAAAAGGAACCAGCCAGTTTTGCAGGCTCAGTTGCAGCTTCAGGAATCCAGATGATTTAGGGCAGCATTTCTCTATACTTTATAGCCCCCATGGAAAACATCTCTAACGGATAAACAGACAGGCAGGTATTTTTCCTCAGTGTTAAAGAGAAAGAAGAGGCAATTGGACAACATCTGAAAGTAAAGAACAAGTTGCATCCTTCTCAGAGATGCTCATACCTCCCTTTTCCCACCTCCCTTATTGACTTATTCCTCTGAAGACCCAGTCTCATCCGCTTAGGGAAACAGGTTTAGTAAGTCAGAAATTCAACTGGCCAGATCTTGATAATGAGTATTATATTGCCAATTCATTTTATGTTTAAAACCAAAGAACCTTAAATCTTATTTCCCTTTAGTAAAGAATCTTAAGTGTAATATAATTTCAAAATGTAAAATAATTTTTCTCTCCTCCCTGTACCTTTGAAACAAAACACCTTTTTCATCTCCTTACTGTCGCTTCATATTGCTCCAATAGCTGACAAAGCCTTTCCTTGCATATTTAGAAATGAAAGGGTCAAAATACAAATATGATGGAAGAAATATTTAGATTTGACCAGTATTCACCAAGTACATAGCAAGATACAAGTTTTGGGGATAACAAAAATCATCAAAATATAGTTCCTACTCTAAAGAACATTACACATTCAGAGGGGAGACAATTCTCATATACAGTTATTTTAAGGAAAAATGTAGTGAATGCTGTAATGGCAGTTATAATAGCTTATATTTACATATACTTCCCAGATTAAAAAATGCTTTCCAATAGTTTGTTTTTACCTTGTTTGTTCTTCATAACAACCTCATATATAGAATAGATATTAAGTAGAATTTTAAAATTAGTCATCCAAAGCTCAAAGGTAAAATGCCCAAAGTTGCAATGCCAGAAAGTCAGTCAATTCAGCTAGCACATACTTGGATGCCTGGCACATAGCATGGTGGAAGTGCTAGCTGATTCTACCATTTTTCCATGTGCTGGGCACTATTTGCGGGACTAGGAATGTGACAGTGAATAAGACAAACAGATCCTTGTCTTCAAGGAAGATAAACGGTGGATCTGTGACATAAACCCAAATTTCTCACTCTACATTCTGTGAGTACCAAAATATAGTGCTTTGGCAACACTGAGGAGGGAGATTAATTTTCACAGGGGTGGTTATGGAAGGCCTAATGGAGGAGGTTTC